TATATAATAATAAGATATTATATAAATAATTTTTATATATTTAATCCTTGATATTTGATAAATCATAATATTTTTATATTAAATTTTCATCAATAATTGATGACTAACTATTTGATAACAATGTAATATTTTTTTATCTATAGTGATTTTAATTTATTAGTTTGCAAATAAAATATATTGTTAAAATTTCATAAAAATTTTCCTTTTATTAGTTTCTTTAATATTTATTATAACATAATGATAGAAGAAACATTTGTGATTAATTTAAATTTTTAAATTTATAAATTATAATATTTCTGGATTTCAAGTAATAATAAGATTGCTTTAATAAAATTAAAAGTAATAAAATTTTATTATTAAATTATGATAAAATTTATTTCAAATAAAAAATATATGTATAAGTAAATATCTATATTCTTATATATGTCGCGTATATATATTTACGCAATAGTTGCGTGCTTATGATGGAGCAAACAGTTTCTTAGTGGTTGAGACCACTTTTTTTTTAGTTTTTCTATATTTTTATAAAAGTTTTAACCAGATTTATCTGCAAAGAATCGTATCAAAAAATACAATTTTATAATTAAAATAATGTGTGTTTTCATGATGCAAAATTTTCATCGATTAATATGGCTTGTATCTATTCTAACCTTATCTATCAGTGATGAAATTAAAACAGATGGTAATACATCTTTAACGTTAAATATAAATAATATTGATAGTGATTTCAAAACTGAACATCGAATTTCATCTTCATCGATTCAATTTATGCCTGAATCCGTTAATTCTAAAAAAATACAGAATGTACGTAATATAAATACATAATATTATATATATATATATATATAAAATTGTCAATTAATAAATGTATAAATTATCTATAAATTTTAAATATACTATATATTTAAAAAAATTAATTTTTTTTGTATTTTTATATTTTTTTTCTAAATAAAGTACATATAATAATAATAACTAAATATTATTGCAGCAAAGTATTGCCACTCCTTTAGTTGCTGGAGAAGGTGGTCCAATATCACTTATACCTCCTACTCAGCAAACATCTACTATTTCCCATTTAAAAGATGTTACTGATAATTTAGATTTACAAGATAATTTATCACAAAAAGAAGATGATATTTTATATTTAAACAAAAAAAAGAATATTTCTAAAATTGTGTCGAGAAAAGGAGCAGATAATGGAAATATTTCTATTAAAATGACACCATCCAATGACACAAAACCTATTATTGAATTTTCAACAATAGCAAGTAATATTTCTAATAATATAAATGCAAAAATTGATATAAATATGAATAATTTAAAATCAAATGTTAGCGATAAAAATATAAATAATGCTTCAAATACAATTGTAAATAATACTTTATATTTAACAAATATAACACAAAAATTATTAAGTGCTCCTGTAACAGCATCATCAATTCAAGAACATAAACCTAAACCAACTGCAACAGTAATAGAATCTAATAACGATAAACAAGCATTTATACCTCGTACTAAAGGTTCACGCGTAGGAATGCCAAAGAAAATTGATTATGTTTTACCAGTTATTGTTACTCTTATAGCTCTGCCAGTTTTGGGTGCTATTATTTTCATGGTTTATAAACAAGGTAGAGATTGTTGGGATAAAAGACACTACCGACGAATGGATTTTCTTATTGATGGCATGTACAATGATTAATACTTATAAATATGACATTACTTAATTCGGCTCATAATTTTCATTCATATATGCAATATATATACATAACAGTTGAATATATTATTTTGCCATTATAGCTAGAAAAAATATTATATTTCAATTATATATAATTTTTTATTTTACTGCAATCTTTTGCATATACTTTTATCATGCTACTGCCTTAATATGAGATTTGTTATTATATATTAATTAGTATCATGTTTATAATTTTAGACAAATGGTGCATAGGAAAGACAATATGGAAATAACAACAAATTTACAATTATAGCAATAACAATTTATTATGAATTCTAAAAATGAAGTACTTTTAAAATAAAGATTTTATCTTAATTTATAAAATAATTAATGACACTTTTATAATTGTATATTAAAGCAATTTTTAAAATTAGAGATTTTTAATTACATTACTTTTATTAAAAATTCTTAATAAAAAAATAAATGTGCCAAGAATTTTTGATTATGAAACCAGTGATATGTTAATGTCTTTTCTTCCAGCATATAAAAGTAAGTTTTTTTGATATGATATGAAAAAACATTTATATTTTGATATATATATATATGATATATATATATATATATATATATATATATATATATATATATATATGGTATATTTTACAACTTAAATTTGTTTTTAATTATATTTCCATATGATTTCCTTTTCATTAAAATTTGATTTTATTTTTTAAATTTTATAAAATTTATATTACGAATTGTAAAGTAATAGTATTTAGCTCGCCAAAGAAGTCATTTATATAATTTGATGTTTGCATTTACTTATTACAATTATTATTATGTTATCATCCTTTTACTTAGGTTTTCAAAAAAATTTGTTTATATAAATTGATAATTATAATTATAAATGGAAGAATAAAATGGACATTAAATGTCCATTTGTAAAATTATCATATTATAAAATATATAAGCAATTTGATTTATGCAATTACTTTATCTAATAAGGTTGCTGCAATTGTTATTAATACTGTAGAATTAGTAGAATTTTACGAACTTTTTTATCTTTTTTAACGTTCGTAAAATTTGTATATTATTCAGATATAATAAAGCAATAACTATTTTTATATATGTATGTAAAAAAATTATTCATATTCTTATAAAATATAAGTACTTGTAATTGAAAATGTTTTATTATTTTTTACATTTTTTATCATTGAAAAAAATTCACAATTCTGATTTCGATATTTTATTAATAAGCTTATTATGTGTAGATACATAAAATTATTAATATTAGCATTTCATATAAAGTACAAAATTTATAATAAGAAAGAATAATGAAGCCTTCTTTGTATAATTATTAAAGAATTCTTTGTAATAATTATTAAAGAAATAATAGGATAATATTTTTATAAATGTGATACATAATTTTAATAATTTTTTATATATATTTATATCACATAAAAAAATTTGTTTTATATATAAAAAAATTGATGAAGCTTCAATTCCGATTTGATTTGTATATTTTTGTTATATGCATAAGTTTGATTAGAGAAAAACATTATTATTTTGATATTAATGTATCTAAGAATTTTGAATATTTTATTCAAAATTCTTATTTTGTAACTTTAAAGTGCATAATCTTCGATTTTAATAATCTTCGGTTTTTAATAATCTAAAGTAATTACATTTTTTACTGCTATGCTGCTACGATAATAATTTTTTCTTAGATTAAATTTATTGCTTTCATTATTGAATTAAATATAAAAATAGTAATTGTCTCACAAAGAATTTCATCTTTATAATTTCAATATAAACATAATTTTGTTAAGTATGTTTTTGGAATACCGCTATATCATGTAATTATTAACAAAGTAATATCTAGATGAAATATTCGATATATTTTTAAGTTTTCTAACAATATATTTTTTTGTAAGAAAAACATTCGAATAATCTAAAATTCATCTATTAAAATTATATTAAAATTTGTATAATGTTCCAGACATTTTTTTTTTATAACTTTGAATTAAAAAATAAATTCCAAATGTTGTATTTAAAACAAATATTTTTACATCTGAAAATATTGGTTAAAATTACATTTATCATATTTGTACAAAAACTGTAAAAATAATACATAGATTGCTTAATAATACATTATATTCATGTCACTATGTTTAACTAATAACTGAAATTGCATAATAATTAAAAATATGCAGTTTCTAAATAAAAAAATTATATCCTATTTATTTAATCCTATTTACTTATTGAAAAATATAAATTTTTATTATATATTACTGATTAAATTTAAATGATTAATCAAAACTAATAAAACAAGTGCAAAAGTATCTTATAATATATTTCATATTGAACATATTATTATACCAAACTTTCTTATTTAACTTTTTTATCACGATATTCAATAAAACTTTCTTTATTTAGATTTATATTTTACTTCATCTGGAAAAGCTTCTCTTGGAGGAGTAAAGCTAAGCATCATTACATGACGTTGGTAAGCTCTGGAATTTCGAAAATGTGTGTCTGTTCCATGAATTCGGTCTAATACTCCCAAAACTCCAAAACATTGATTAAACCTAGAATAATATTATGATCAATATTTTCAATTTCTAAACAATAAAAATTTTTATAATTTTTATAATTTCTAAATTTCAATTATTAATAATACTTATTATATATAAAATCTAATTATTATAAAATATCTATTTTTATATAAAATTTAATTATATTATCGGTATAGAAATTTCTATTGATAAAAAAAATTATTTTAATATATTTTAATTATTTTAATATATATATAATACATTTCAATTTTAATTTAAAATAAAATAAAAAATAATTTTGAATATATAAAAATTACTTACTTTAAATGATGAAAATCGTGAGCTTCTGGAGATGGAAAAAACGGTAGATGGTAACCAGAATGCGCATTTAATGTAGAAAGAATAGCAAGCGAAAACCAAAGCCAAGCAGTAGCCACATGAGAGCCTATGATATATACTCCCAAAAACGGTGGTAATAAATTGGAACCAATGTGTTCTAAAGGATGACAATACAGCGATGTTATAGCTATGGGAGCTGTCCATTCATGGTGTTGTTTATGTATATATTTATATAGATAGCGGCTATGCAGAAATCTGTAATGTAATTTTGCTTTTGCACGATTTTTTTTTATAACAGCAAAGATATATAAAATTCTACGTAAAATAATATTATAGAGGAAAATCTATTCAAATATGATTGCTTAAAATATTTCTAAGATAATTAAAAAAATAATTGAAAATTATAACAAATATTAATTGAACAATAGTATGTATATCCTTCGATTATTTTAAATAATCGATATATAATATAATATATATAAAATAATTAATTTTAATCTATTCATTTGAATCTAAATTTATTTTAAAAAATATAAAAAAAAGATTTAAAAACTTTGCATATATAGTTTTAATTTAATGTACATATCTTTTAGGATAAATTAATTTAAAAGATACTATAAATTCAAGCATAATTTATATTATTAATATGAAATATTTTCTAATGAACGAAGGCCAAGTACATTACTAAATTATATTAATAAAAACATATAAAATTTCCATACCTGTGCGAGTAATAAAATCCAATTTCCTCACATAATATGTGAAAAGCAATTTCAACAAGTACCCAGTGGAAGGTCGGCAATTCGCGTACAGGGGGATAACCGCGCCATTCCATAAGGTGATAACTAATGTACGCTAGAGGAAGTCCAACAATAGTTTGATTGAATAGTACTTGAGCGATTACTTTGAACAATTCTCTCGTGTCGACCGGTTCGTTCGTACCCGGTTGTATTTTGTATCTTCGTAAAACTGCTGGCCGATTAGTTATATCTAGAATCATATAAATCCCGCCAAAGAACCAGTACACGAAAAATGTCAGTCCTATCGAGCCTGGAAAAAATTAATTTTCTATTAATGAATAATATTCTTACTTTTACAATTTTTCAAAAAAATATTGAACGTATATATATATAAGAAAGTTCCAAAATAAGTTTCAAAAAATAATTTTTCTTTCATTCTATCTGTCATTTCTATCTTTAAAAAAAAAATGAAGCTATAATTTGATAATGATAATTGATGACAATTTTATTTCCTTTCTAATACTATTTTTATCATATTATTTATCATTTATTTTATGAATAAGCATTAATAAACATTAATTTTCTTTTCTATTTTAAATAATTTAAAAACTTTTTATTTTTATATATATTTATTTTATAATTTTTTAGATAGAAATATGAAAATATTGCAATTATATATTGTCAAGTTTAATAATATGTCAAATACATTTGAAATAACTTTATGAATAAGAAATAAAATATTTGTTTCCTGCAATAAAATTCAATAATCTTATATCTTTAAATGATTTCGATTAAGTTTACATCAAATAATATTTATCTTGGAACATGTTATATATGTATTTTTTGACAGATTTATTTTAGTTTACCATAAACCCAAAGCGTGCCGGGATCATCTCCTAATTTATCTAAGATTTTATCCCATTGTGCTTGCCAAAAATCACCTGAGGCTCCCCAAAATCTTTGTAAATGCCTAAAAGAATAAAAAGATCGAAATAATTTGAAAATTTTAATATTAATAATAATAATAATTAATAATAAATAATGTAAATACATTTAATAATTGATTTAATTAATTATTATATAATTATTATTATATCTTCTGCAATAACAATGTCTTCAATATCTTATTTGTGTATGTTATCTATTAAAATTTACCATGTTAGCGAATTGCAGAATGCAGCAAATCCGATTACTACGGTTCCAATTACAAATAGAACGCTCCTTAAACTTGAAAGCAAAGTCGGTGGCGTTTGATTTTTATCTTCACCGCTCCTAGGCGTCACTACAAAAAATAAATTGTTATTAGTTTTTCGTAATTTTTATAATTTTCATTTCAATAAATTTTAAACTTATTTTATTTGTTATTTAATTTATTTAATTTCAATATATCTTTTAATTAAATTTTTATGTATCAATATTTACAAAAAACAAAAAAGTCAACCAGTATTGAATCATTTTTTTTATATTTTGTATATTTGTATATTTTCATGAGTTATGTTAAAATATAATTTATTTGTTTATTCTTTGTCAAAGTAAATTTTATGATAAATCATTTAAAAATTATTTATGAAAACAATTTTGCAAATTGTTAAGTATTAAATTTATATTATTAAAAATTTCCTATTACTTTATTTTAATATTTAATTATTAATAATCTTTATTATTATCATTGTATATATTTATTATTTTTAATGTTTTTTTTTCTTATTAAGAAATCATTAATATCTTAAAAATTGCAAAATGATATTATTCAAATAAATTTATCTTATTTATATCATAAAGTGTCACTTGTATTGTAATAAAAAGGAAAAAAGACAATTTGCAGAACAGGATGTTATACAAGATAACCCGGATTCGATTGACAATGTACTGAACAACCACTCGATTTTAACCTTTTTAAATAGCTGATTAAATTATCATTTTTAACGCGTTTGCAGCAAAATTGTGCAAATCACCGGGTATATTTGAGAATTAAATATTTTTAAAAAATTTGATTTTACTTTTTTGTGAAATTTGAACTTTCTTATAAGTTTATTTTTAGTTAAAAACAAATGTTTAATTAAATTATAAAATAATTAAATATAATAAAACACGTTTTTTTTTATATCATTTAGATTATATTAAAATTTTTTGAGTTAAATTTTTCAATTTAGATGATGATATATATATAATTAAATATATATATAATTATTATATATAATTAAAAAAAAACATAACTGAATTTAAAACTTATGTATATTTATTATTTAATTAATTTTAATGATCTTTGAATAATTATATGTAAAAGAAAATGATAAAATGATAAAATATGATAATAAAAATAAAAAAAATGGAAATAATAAAAAATGAAAAAAAATAAAATAAAAAAAAAAGTGTTAAAATAAAGTTGTTATTCAATTAATTTTTTTTTAAAAATTTGTTTTTCTCTTTAACTTTATATTTTAACTACGTTAATTTTCTTATATAGTGTTATTAATATTATAATACTAAACATAAAAATTTAATATTATTTCATATTATTACTGTAAATAGTTTAATATTATATTATATAATATATATTATTATTTAATAGAAAAAATAAAATACACTACTTTTTTAGTTAACTATCCTGTTTATGTTTTAGGAAGTGCATCTATTCAATTGAAAAAATGAATAGGATTCGTGATAGTGAAAAGAGGTCGATGAAGACTCTTGACAAGATCAAAGATTCATCGGGTACGCATGCACTTGACTAACAATAAGAATTACCATAGTAAATCTAGATAACATCTCGCTTGTTGTATCAACGAATAGCATCAATGTTAAGCTAACTATGAACTTGTTTGGCATACCACTTTATATTAGATTTAGCTAATTGCTGGCAGCATTCGTAATGTAGTTATGAATCGATTTAAATGTTGATTAATATATGTATATATAGATCGTATTATATATAATTAGATCAAATCATATTTTTAAAATGGTAAAAATTATACGAGAATGAAAAATATGAGAAAAAGTAAAATGAAAGAAAATGTTAAATTTTCTAAAAAATCTGTAAATATAAATATTATACTTTTTTAATTATTAATTGATGCATATGATTAAAAAAAATATGTATATAGTGTAATTTAAAAAGTAGAAATATGAAACTTTGAAAAATAATAGATACATACATGTAATGAAGTGAAATCAGTATATCATATTTTAAGGTATATAGATATAAGATTAAAAAATAAACTGAACGAAATAATAAGAAATTTAATTTAATTATGATAAAAATTGTTTGCTAAATTATATTATTCTTTTATCTATNAATTTAATTGAACTTTAATTAATATCTATATAAGAAATATTAATAAGTTATGATTTTTTAAATTATTTAATTATATTAATAAATAATTATTAAAAATAATGTCTGAACAGTCATTAAATTTTTAATATTATTTAATAATTACAATTTAATATCAATTATTGTTTGTTTTTTTGAAATTAGTTTTTTTTATAATTATTTATATTTATATATATATTTAAAATAATAGAAGAGTTTATGATACATATTTTTTGAATTTCAGTAATTATTTTAATTTGCATTGAACTAAACAAATTTTCAATTATTATTAATTAATTAATAAAACATTTTGTTATGAAATATCGCAAAATAAATTAACAAATAAATCTATTTATAATGTATTTCTATATTAATATTAATATTAATAATTTTGAATCGAATTGAGTGCAAATTGTTATATTGTTAAAATAATTAAATTAAAAAAATAAACTAAATTTATGGTTAAAAATAATTTATTATAAAAAAATATAATGTTATATATATATATTCATTAGATAACTCTCTCGAAGATATTGAAAAAGTATAATCATTCCAAGAAATCATTTAAATTATATGATGAATATAAATAAGTGTGAATGAAAAAAAAATGCTTATCATTTTAAAATTGGCTTTATATATTCTTTAAAAAAGAAGATATATGTAAAAAAAAAGACTTATTAATTCAGAGAAATAATTTACATTTATAAATTATTGAAAATATTAGTTAAATATAATATTAATTTTCATAGAAATTTAAATAAAAATGTAAAAATATTAAACAGAATAATTATAATATATTTACATAGATATTTATTATATTTTCGATAAATTTAACAGGCATTATTAATTAATTTTTTATTGATTAATCTCATTATAAATCTAATGAATTCAATATTGTATTAAGAAATTTTTCTAGATTTTAATTTTCTATTTTTCTTTAATTATTATTTAATTAATACTTAATTTAAAATACAATACAATTTTATTTAAAATATTTTACTAAAATATTTATTGGAAAATTTGTTGAAATATAACAAAAAACATTAATAGTAAGATATTTTAATTTTATTATAATTTATAATAAAATTTATTG